TGTTTTGGATGTGACAATATGATATGTATATACTTATTTAGTATTATGTTTTTCATTTGATTATTTATTGGTTTAAAATATATTTTCCTTAACCGGTAAGGGGTCGGATCATATTACCTGTTAATATTATTAGGTCGATTTCAGGTCAGGTTATTTTACCCGTTTATTTTAATGAGTGTTACAAGATACGACCCGTTAAGATATCGGATATGACATGAAAACGACACGAATACAGAAAATACGATACGAATGTCAGGTCTAGTTTCAAGGAGTAACAAAAACTAAACCAAAAAGAAGTTTCACTCTAAAAACCAATTGTCGCTTTATGGTTATTAGACTTCCGCAAGGACTATGGACTTTCAAAGATTCAGGATTCTCATTTTGTAGACTATCATGGACTTTTACAGACATGTCGATTCAGTTTTTTTTACAAAGTTGATTGGACAATTGCAAATGAAATTATGGCAAAAAGGTTAGAATTGAGGGAAATAGATCATCTCTGGATTTCTTTCACGAAGGTCACCGGATCAAGTGATCTGAGCATTTGAAATTTCATTCAACAGTAAAAAATTATTATAACTTTTAAGGGATCAAAACAGGTGGGCAGTTGGATGAAATTTCAAATACGCGGATTACTTGATCCGGTAACCTTGATAGAAGAGATCCGAAAATGATCCCTAACTAACCGAACCAAAACCAAGTTGGTTCGATTCAATTTGGGTTCTTTCTGAAACTTTTTATTTTTAAATTGAATCCAACCGAAAATGTGTCATCATTCAGCTCACAAATTTGGAGGTGAACCAGGCCAAATAGAACTGTGCCCACTTAAAAAAAAAGGGAACTTTAACGAAAAACACTCAGTACTGTTCACTTTAACGAAAAACCACATTTTTACACTAAAAAGTCAATCTTGATACTATTCACTTTACCCTTTATTTTGTCCTTATCATTAAAACTCAAAGTTTTCAAGCCCTTTTCATTAGTTTTCCTAAAAAAATAAGGGAAAGTGAGAAATCGGTAAATGGTAAGTTGGTACATAATTCGAAAAAGTAGGGTTCTTAAATTGTGAGTTCAATTAGCATTCTAAAAATCTAAACCGACATACACGTGTCAACTGAGCAAAGAGTGACCGATGCTAATTGTCTTCTCTATAAGGCCAATTTGGTGAAACATTCATAATACCAAAAATACCCATCCTAAAATGGTGAAGCATTCAAATATCCTGAAAGTAACCCCATTTAAGTATCAACACAGAAGTTGCCAAATAAAATAAGAGTGTTGATATCTCATCTCTGTGTCTTATTTTCCCACCCACATCCAAATAAAAAATTTATTTACAAGTTTACCTCTTGACGAAATAACATATAAGGACCTAGCAGTTGTTCAAAGTTCAACCTTTGATTTTTACTATTCTAACGAACTACTTTGCTCTCTCATCTCCTTTTCATCCTCTTCTCCCTCACAATATTATCCTCATTTTCTTTTTTCCCCATCTAATTTATTTTTTGTTTCTAAATTTTTTTCATGCTTGTTGGTCACCCGATATGTTAATTTTGGGATTTATGTTTTTGCTGGATGTGGTAACAGTGATGGTGGTTATGGTAGGCTAGGTGGTGTTTAATGTTATGTTTGATCTAATGCTTTACTATTGCCGCTTCTTCTTCAAGATGCAAGATTCTCTGTATTTTGTCTTTACTGGAGCTTTGTCGATATTAGCGGCAAACGCAAAGAAGAAGTATCAACAATGAATGCGAGGATGAAGAATTGGGAATATTTTTTGCTAGTCCGAAAAATTGGAGGCGGGGAGATTGAGGTCGTTGCCAACAATGGCAACGGCTCCGGAGTTGCTAAGATAAATCTGTTCGAGAATTACAAAGTCAGGAGGTTGCTGGGGTGCAAGGCCTTCACGAAGGTGTACCACACGCGAAACGTGGCATCAAGGCCCTCAACAAGCAGAAGATGCTCAAGGGTGGGTTCACTGTGGACGATGAAAGGGGTTGTCGTCGAGTTGCGTTGTGTTGTGTTGTATGGGGTTGGGTGGTAGTTGGGTTGGGTGATTTTTGCAGTTTATTTCTTTCAATTTATGCAAAACAGTAGAATATATGATGGTCATTTTAGGAATATTGGTGGGTGGAGAAAGAGTTTTTTTATTTTTAAACTTTTTTGAGGGGTGATAATATGAGGTGGGGTCAAGAAATAGGATTGTGGGGTGGGTCTAGTAGTTCTCTAAAATAAGGTTTAAATCGTTAAATGAACACAACAAAAAATCTTGAGTCACTCCTTTGAGACAATGTTTGTATGGATCTTAAGAATGACAATTCTCAACTGTTAGATGAAGCGCCCCCAGCAGTTAGAGAATCATTTTAAACAATATGACCCCATCGATTAGTCATCCAACTCATGTTTTAATCTCACCACTAAAACACTCATATTGGAGGATTTATAGTGAGGGTTAGTATTTCCGTTGCTTGCTAGTTTATTTAGTATTGGCGAAATAAATTTGTTTTTAGCAAGTTTTTGCAATTATCGATGAGACTATAGTTTCTGTTTGTGCTTATCTTAGTGAACAGTTGAAGATTATTGCTCACAAGCCTGATAAACCTCATAGGATTGAATCGTTGCTCTATTGGGAAGCTACTCTTTCGTATTAGTTTAAGCTTAATATTGATGGTTGTGAGAAGAAAAATAATAATTCTATTGGAGTAGGTGGTGCTTTAAAAGATTCTTATGGTAAATAGATTTATGGGATTTGGGCCAATTAAGGCACCAATTGGCATGGAGATTACATATTGATATATATTTATATAAGATTTTGCACTCACATTTTATTTGGTGATGCATGCTGCTGGAAATCATCATCCCTTCGGTTCCCTTGTTTTGGGATGTTGAGAGTTGCAATCAAGATCTTGCCAATGCGAACCTCGATATGTCAATAGAGAAAAGAATTTTGTGGCGGATAGTTTAGCGAACTATATGCTTTAGATTTAGGCAAGTTTTTACTTTGATAATCCTCCTTGTTCAATTAGTTTTGTTCGTGAGGATCGACTCGAAATGTCTCGATCTAAATTTATTTTTGAATAGTTTTGACCATAACAAAAAACCAAACTGATACATAATGCATCATATATAGACAAATACTTTCATCATGAATTGCTTATAATAAATAATCGAAAGTAATCAGATTTATTCTTTCAAATCAATTCATCGGTTTCTTTCGTAAGGGTCAAAGACAATGAACTTGGATCGCACAATGAATTCAACCAAGTCCTATGAATGAAAGATATTAAATTCCTATTTGTACACTACAAGAAAAATGGGCTAAGAACACAATTGATTTGTGCCTTTCTCATTTTCATTGAGCACAAATATATATTTGTGCTTTTTAAATTCCATTGAGCACCAAAATACCTCAAATGTGCCCTCTAACATAAAGCACATTAGTTTGTGTCGGGTATTTGTGCCTACTGAACACAAAACTTTGTGTCTAGCTTGCATGTCAGAGATGGAATTTTTTTTATTAATTTACACAGACACAATAAAAGCTTTTGTGCCCTCTATTTTAATATATTTAAATAAAAAATTATGTTTTTGTGTCCTTTACATTTACTTTTTCCTATTCCCAACTATTTTTTTCCTATTCACAATTTGTGAAAATATCTAGTTGCGATCAACTTGAATTATTAGTGGTGATAAATATTTTATGTTATTTAAATAATAATTATCGTAATGAACACGTGGTCACAAACGGATGTGAATTCGAAGTTACAACGAGTAAGTTACAAATTTTTAAAGTTAGAAGGCAAGTAATTTTGGGAGAGAGCATTCTAGAAGCCAAAGGCTTCTCCCATTTTACTTTCCAAGCAAGCAGATGCAACAGGGACCCACCCATGTGGGTCTTCACCCTTCCCACCTAGTTATATGTAGGGGTGGGTTCGGTACGGTTACCGTACCAAAACCCTCGTACCAATTACCGTACCAAACTTTCGGTTTGGTAAAATCTATTACCATTACCATACCAAACTTTAGGTATACCGAAGTTCGGTATTGCCAAATGTTCGGTTGGCATTGTATGGCAATGGTAATTGCCACTTTGTTTTGGGACAAAATTTGTTTTTGCTTTTTTAACCCAATTCAAGGGAAAAACTTTTTTATTGTACCTTTATCTCGTACATTGTAGCCTAAATTCATCTATTATTCATCATTTACAATTCACACACACAATAATTCAAATGATGCATCAAGATTCATGATGAAAATTAAGCTTACAATCCAAATAGAAGTTACGAACCAAAACAAATAGAAGTTTCCCCCATGCTAAAGATCTTCTCTATCCTCCATTGGTTCAAACACACCTCTAGAACTTTCCCAATGTCTTCTCCCTTATGACCCATGATCTTTATGAAGTTTATGATCCGTTTGTGCAACTTTCATTCACTATCCATGAAGTGAGCGGTAACTACCATGTAGTGAATGTTTTGTACCGATGTCCAAGTATCGGTTGTGATACTTACCTTTTGATTATGCATTGCTTCAAATAACATAGACTTCTCCAACACATATAAATCCCACACATTGGCTGCAATCTTCTTCCTAGTTGGAATCTTGAACCAAAGTTGAGCCTCTTTCATCATATCAAATTATTAGAATATTATAAATATGTGTTATATAATTATATATTATATTATATGTTCGGTACGGTAAGGTAATACCGTGGTAATGATATTCATTACAAATACCGTACAAAGAAATTTCGGTACGGTACAATACCGTACCATTACCGATTGGCACAAAATCGGTATGGCACGGTTGGTAATTCGGTTGGCACGGCAATTTGGCAAAAAAATTCACCCCTAGTTATATGTGTTTGTGTGTGTATATATATATTGAGTATTAAATCATTATTTTGTTAATTTTTTGATGGCTTTTTATGCTCATTCATTGTTTTCTATCCTGGCAGGCAGATGCAGCAGGGACCCACCCACATGGGTCTTCACCCTTCCTACCTGGTTATGTATATATAATTATTTGTTGAGTATTAATCCAACAATCTTCCATCTCCCTCCTGGTTATGTATATAATTATTTTATTAATTTTCTGATGAGTTTTTGTGTCTCGTGGGACCCACCCACGTGGGTCTTCACCCTTACCCGTGCTTCTACTCCTATATGCACTCCATTACTCTTCTGTCTCCCACCTTCACGCAATCCTCTCTCTCACTAACTTTCTCTCTCTACTTCTTCACACTTTTCTGTCATCTCCCTCGCCATCTATGTGCTCATTGCACAGAAAACAGCAACATCCATCTCCATCTAACTAGCCACTCCGGCGAACCTTGCCACCAGCCAAACACTACATTGCCACCCTCGCTCTCTCACAATCTTTCTGTCTCTCCCTCTCGGCTTCTTCCTTGACACAGAGAAACACATAAGCAACGACAGTGATAGAGCTGGGGATCTCTGGCGAGGCAACCACCACAGTCACCTTCCTCTCCTCATTGCAGACTTCCCTTTACCTTTTGCTTTATGGAAATCGAAACCGACGTGACAAAATGACAAGCTCCATCGCGGCTTGACTCCCTGATGAGATTTTCTGTCGAATCTAGTATGGGTAAGTCTTGAAAACACCTTAGTTAGGTTCTTTAAGTTGTTTAGAGACGTTTTCGTGCACTGCATGCCTAATTTGGTTAAGTTTGGATGCAATTTTAACTCAGGGGACAAATTCCCCTGATTTCCAGTAAGGGCTATGATTTTAGGCTATCACCAGCCACCCAATGGCCTTGAAGAAGGTAAATTTCGAATACTTACCTTTGTAGCTTTGTTTTAGCTTTTGAATTGTTGAAAATGGTTGTGTTTTGGACCAAAACGGACTTTGAAACCCTTGGTGTGGCTGTAGGTCGCACTGTCGCTGCGTGTGGTACTATTGTGGATGGCGCGTGGAGCACAGGCACCTCCACCGGAAGGATGATTGCCTGAAAGGATGAATATACGTTTTCAAATGTTTGTTTCATATTGTAGGGTATTTCGAATTTGTTATTATCTTTTTTAATTTAATTGATAGGGCACAATTACAAAAATTGTGCTAACTTGAATCTGAAATGGCATTTGACACAGGTGTCAGAACAGGGCACAAAAAAAAACCTTATTTGTGCTCAACTCTTTGAGCACACATAGCCATATGGTGCCCTCTAATCAATGGTGACGCCCATAGAGGGCACAAACACAAAGATAATAGCTGCATTGTTGCTATTGGTCTATAAGCGCAATTATTGGTGCTTTTTGGCCTTCAATGACACAAATAATTTATTGTGTGCAGTGCTCATTTTTGTTATAGTGGTAGAATTTCTAGCCTAGATATGTGCATGCATTTGTTGTACTATATAAATGTATTATACCTAGTGTTTTCACATTCAAGGAAATATAATTCTCCCGAGTTAAATCTTTTTACATGGCACCAGAGCAACTTTTCTGGTGACAAACACAAAATCCAAAAACTATCCAATCTCAGCCACCCACCATGAAGTGTGAAACATGCGACTAAGTCTGGCATACTGTAGAGACCTGTCCATCCCACCATGAACGCTCCAATGGGAACAATGTGACAAGCTCTTCGAAGAAACAAGAATTGGGAAGTTCATTTCCATTCACTCCGGCCGGATCAATGCAAGCAAATCATTGCTATGCTGAATGAGAACAAGCCCAAACCTCACAACATTGGTAACAAACTCTTCCCTAAGCAGGTTGTCAGGTGCAAAATTTTCTTGCAGTTTACATGGACAACGCTGGTCTTGAATCTTGGATAGTGGTGTGACCGCCCATATTGTGCACACCCACACTTCTTACATCCTGGAACCTGTTCAAAATCGTACTGCAGAGCTTGCTGATGGGACATCTACTCCTGGACTCATATAGGCACCATGGTCTTTTCTTGTCAACCAACCTTACAGGATGTTCTTTGTGTCCTATCTTTTAATCTTAATCTTGTTTCCATTAGCAAGCTTACGTAGCATTCTTTATGCATCACCGTTTTTCTAAATAATCTCTGTGTGATACAATACCTTTGTTCGGGGAAGATGATTGACGCTACCTGCCACTCCATCAAACCTACATCCTCCTCTCATTCTAGTTTATGGCACAATCGTCTTGGTCACCTCTCCGATAAAGTCCTCCACCTAATTTCCGTTTCTGCTAGAGATGCGTCAAATAAATGCACTGTTTTTCCCTTGGCAAAGCAAACACGAACTCGTTTTCCTTTACCAAGTATTTCGAGCACTTCCCCATTTGAGTTATTACATGTTGATATATGGGGAATGGTACAAAGTCTACGATGTCGCACAACTAAAATATTCATCTCCCACTACATTATTTTTCACGAAGAAACCTTTCCCTGTGACCACACTTCCACTACCTCGCAACCAACCATCACGCCTACTCTCTTAAATGCACCACCATATCCAACTTCTGTAAACAACGATCCATACACCATGGAAGCTCCAAATTCTACTAAACCGTCACCGACCAACACAACCAATGTTCGTTTCCAAAGACGCCGTTGCAATCGAGCCTTCTATTGAATCCACAACAGCATAACGACCATAAGAACCTACTCATGAGTGCAGCCGGCCTACCCGTGCACCTTCCCACTCCCACCTGCAACAATCGGCCTCACATGTTGGTTCTCATACAGGTAATCCTCATTCTCTCTCTCTCCTCTGCTCTAAAATCCGCAGGCTACCAACAATCAAAAACCGACATTTCCTTATTCGTCTGATCCAAAGGTAACAACTTTACCGCATTGCTTTTTTATGTTGATGATGTGATATTGGCATTGAAGTCACAAAGCGCATTTTAGCGGGCAGATTCAAACTCAAGGACCTGGGGAAATGAAAATTAAAAAATTTCCTAGGAATCAAAGTTGCACTTGAAATATTGGAGGATTCAAGGTTTCTTGGTGCTCGTTGGCCGTTTGATATACTTGACAATCACAAGACTGGATATGGTTTGATGGACAAACCCAGGGTACCGCACCTGTATTTAGCCCATCGTTTTCTTATCCTCCACAAGCTCGTTACAATTGAGAGCTTACTGTGATGCAGATTGGAAACTAAACACTTGTATTTGGCGAGCTCATGAACAGTGCCCCATTCGTTTGAGAAGCATGTCCGAGGTCCGGACAAAACTTGTACCCATATGAACTTTAATTAAGCAGTTGAATCCCTCGTTACCAGAACCCGTACCCGACAGTTGTAACTCTAACGTAACAAGCGCTAACGCCTAAACCAAAATACAAATGTAACAAATGTACCGGAAATTGAAGTGCAGAAAGCACATCCCCGATTAACTGTGAGAAAGCACGAAAAAAAAATTTGATCCAATAATATAGACTCCCATCAGTTCAACTAAAGTGAAGTTGGAACGCCAAGATACAAATGGATCCATAAAGCCAACATACAAGGCTCCCAGTTTAACAAGTTTCTACTTGTACTCTAAACATCAAAACTAACCCTCATGCCCTCAACATAATCGACAGCATACTTCATAAAAACCAAAATCCATTCACGATGCAATTGCACGACATTTCCTACATCTAACATGCTGACCGACTGACCCGAAAGAGAATCTGAACACCAGCCATGGTTGGATTGTGCCATGTTCCTACTGATTGATTTTTCTTCCCTGTTGTGCTGAAAGTTTTTCAGCCACTTGTTCATCTGACAAAGGCAAGTAATAGATTCGAGGAGTTGACTTGGTTTTCCGAAAGAGATCATCCAGGGTGACAATTGGAAGATCATGCTTCTCCGGTAAAGGAGGTGGGGGAGGCAGAGGAAGCCGCTCTCTTGCTACGGGAGCTGTAGGCAAGGGTGGTGGAGGAGGGAGAGAAGGAGGTGGTGGAAGCTGCTGCTGCCTAGGTTGACGGGGAGAAGGCTGCGGCTGCGAGGTGGTCGGGCCAGCAGGAACAGAAGGACCACTGGCGACAGGTGGAGCAGGAGTCTGAGAAACCTGAAGCCGTGTTTGCACCTCCTGGGGATCAACAAACTCAGCCGCTAAGAGGCGCCCCCCATTGGGAGGCCACTGTAAGTTATACACAGCATTCCGTGTCTCCAAGGCTTCTTCCACTGACGAATACTGCATCACAACAGAAATACCCAAATTAAGGGATGAGTTTCATGTAATTTAGAAACTAAGCAGAAACAGACGGTAAAAGCATAGTTCCAAACAAGCAAATCCAGTGGGTGCAGAGAGAGAGATTACAGTAACATAGCAATGAGTTTTGATGTGGTCCATCCAGAAATCATTAACGGACCCAGTTTTTCCTAGAAGTTCTTGCACAGCTTTCAGGGTGAAAGGTCGCAGAAAACGATCAATTCTCAGAGAATTAGTTGGAGCCTTCTGTGATGGTGGAACTACAACAAATAGAGATATACAGCGTCAAAACATGTGTTTTATACACATTTCCATATTAACTAAAGACCAATGACTCACCAACACGTTCCTTGGGAGCATCCTCACTCATAGTAGAGTTTGACATCGAAAAGTTACGCTTCAAACTGTTGGTCTGGAAAGTTTCCTTGGGTGTGACCGTCGGCGTTTGAATAGGGCTTTGGAGCTCTGGAACTTTAAGACTTTCAGAGTTCCACCTGCACTTTTTTATAGGCTCATTGCTTCCAAATGCTGCTTGATCTGAAAGGGAATTTATCCGATCAAAAGGCCATAACTGATTATTTAAAAGGAACGGAAAGAAGAGAAAAAACTGAAGCGCAGAGCCCAGCAATATCATATGAAACTAATACAAGATCCATGCCAATCTGAGGAATGCAAAACAATCAAGCTTAAATTGTTGATACAGCAAGCAAAGCAAGAATATGCACAAAACGGAAAGCAAAAATAAATCTGTAAATAGAAAGTAGCTATAGTCCTATTACAGAATAATTAAAAGACTGTCCATCAAACCTTGATTTCTAAAGGAAAATCAAGGTAAATTTAGAAACTGATTAAAGTCATCAGGATTAGTTGCTACACACAAAGTGGTATGTTCCTCTTACATACTCTAATAATGCCTCTTACTTATTCCCAAAACACAGTTTCGAAAGAGTAATCCAGGTTCCTATAGAACATTGATATCAACCTCATCTTTCTAGGTGACAGTATTCCAAGATCCTGCGTTTTTTCTTTTTGAAAAGAAGTAATCCATGACCCTAGTTATTAAATTTAGAAACAGCTAGAACAATTTCATTAAACGTCATCACTGGGTTTCATCAAGCCCTCCCCTCAAAGGTTAATTTGTTCTCTGAAATAAGTGATATTATTCATAAGTTAATTATACACATGCAATTATTGCAAGGATGCGATGTAGGTATCATACATACTCCTTCATCAGATATACGTTAAGGCACCGATCAGTTAAAAAAAGATAGAAAAGGAAATAATCAGAAGCTGATGGCAATTACATATGTTGCACAAGCCAAATGCAGAAAGTTCATGCAATCCAACTAAAGCAGTTCTCATAGTAACTTAGTAGTGTAACAAATGGGTTGAAAAATATAAATAATCAAGAAACTCCAGATGTAATGCTCACCATTAAGCTTTCTTTTTTCAGCACGAGCAGTATGATTCTTGATCTCAACATTTTCCTCCATTTTGTCAAGGGAAATATCATCTCCCACAATACCAACATGACTTTCCTCTTTCACAAAGGGAACAACATTTTTCTCACGCATATCTCCCACATCGTCAGGATTATACTTTGAATAAATTTGTTTACTGTCCTGCACATCTTCCTCCATAGAATCATCTCCAGAACTTCTCTCTAAATTTAATTTTTCTGAATACCCCACATCGGCACTATCATTTTTCTTACTTATGTCAGCATTCATATCATTGTTGTCATCTTTCTCTCCACAGAAGCTTTGTCATCGTGTGGCTCTTCAACATCCATTGGATGTGAATCACCACTGACTGGGACAACAGTACAGGATGATGGGTCCACCATCTCCGGCTTAACATCTAATTCTAATTTGACATGATCAGCAATTATATTATCCTTTAGTTCAATCTTTTCATTAATTGACACAGAATCAGTAGAAATAGAATCATATTTTACTTCATACCCTAAATGGCTGACCTCAGATACCTGGTAGTTTGGAGCAGAAGAGTCGACCATCACATCCTTGGCTGTAGGCTCTAATCCCTCTTTCTCCAGTTGGGGCTTTGAATCATCAACCTCCAGTTGGGGCCTTGAATCCTCATCCTCCAGGTGGGCCTTAGGATCAACATTCTCCAGCTGGAGATTTGGATCCTCACACTCCAGCTCGGGCACTGGATCCTCACTCTCAAGATAGGGTTCTGGATCCGCATTCTCCAGCTGAGGCTTTGGATCCTCATTCTCCAGCTGAGGCTTTGGATCCTCATTCTCTACTACGGGCCTTGGATCCTCATTCTCCACTAGGGACTTTGGAATCTCATTGTCAAATAGGGACTCTGAATTCCCATTTCCCTTATTAGCTTCAGTGTTCTGTGAATTATCACCAACTACTGCTGCCTCAGCCACCAGAGTCTCAGTGACCCTAACATTGGTTTCCACAATAGTAGATTGAACAACCGGCTCCTCTTCAACTATGGCACCAGCATCTTTATCAACCAGAACATAACCTTCTTGAATGCTCCCTTGATCCAAGTTTCTAGCGCTGTCATTAGTGTCAACCTGAACTGGCAAATCAACTTTTTCAATCCTTTTACGCCCACCAGAACCAGTGCTTCTAGGTGTCTTAGGAAGAACTGCAATTGGCTCTACAACTTTTTCACCATAAAGTCCGTTATCCTCAGTCAATGCATTTTCCCTTTCAATTCGTATTGCTTCATCTAAGCGTTTTACCAAATCATCCTTCAAACCCTTGGTCGTCAAACTTCGCTTCTTAAGCTCCTCCTTTAATTCTGTAACCTTCAAAAGATTGATTGGTCGGTTGCCAAGACTCGGATATTGATATGACATCTTCCTACTAAAAACTCACTTCAATCCTGATTTAAGAAAAATACATTTTAAAAAATAAATAATGCCACCAAAATCAGTAACAAAAGCGAAGCACACCACAACAAATAAAAGGACCTTGGTAATACATAAACAAGAAAAAGCAGCTACCAAATGCCAATATAGAGAACTCAGATAAAAAAAATGCCAATATAGAAGTAATCCCTGTTTAAGAGCTCAGTCAAACACTGCTTCAATTTAACAAAGCTAACTTAAATAACGGTAATAGAAAACAAATATTTTAAAACCCCATTAGAATCAGAAAACAAATATGTACGTCTCTGAACACTCTGCATACCATATGTTTCCTATTAAATAACTATTCAAATTCTTTTACAATTGAGCCATTAAGGACAAAAAACAAAAATCCTCCATGAAAAAAATTCATAATCTTATTAAAAAAATGACAGGAGATAATATATGTGACTTATTCTAATCAACTAACACGAAGCAGATAGAACCAACTTTGAACTGGTTACAAGTTGAATAAACTTCACATTGGGGAAAAAAAATTAAAAATAACAAAAGTCCAAGAATCTGCAGACTTCCATAAAAATAAAGATAAAGAACGAAAGATATCGTAGTAAAAATTAATAATGCAATTCCTGCAAGAATAATACTTGAAAGTTGAATCTAACTAAATTATTAGCTTATACTCAATGAGAAAATAATGTAATCATATAATATGACACTCTGGACACAAAATTTTGCGCAAATCGAACCAAACGGAAGAACAGAAACCCTAGTTGCGAAATCGCATTGCAGGGGAACGAAAAGGTAAAGTAAGTAAGGACACTTACAGGAACGAATGCTTAATCGGCAGCCACGACGAAAGAATCAATAGGCCCACAAAAAAGGGGAGTGGACAAATTGAAAACCCTAATTTGAAAACACAAAACCCACCATTAGAGAAAGCATCAGCATCTATGAAGAAGCAAACCCAGAAAACAGAAGAGAAAGCTAAATCCGAATAGAGCTTCTCCCAATTGGAACAAAGAGACCCAGTGCTGGAGTCGGTGTTCGTTGTTTCCTGAAAACAACCAAAACAAAAACCAAAATCCAAAAAAATAAAAAATAAAATGTAAAAACAAGTATGTGAGAGAGAAAACGGAAACAAGAAGAATGCTTTCTTCCTCAATTTCTCTCTTTTGATTTGGGAAATTTGGGCGTTTTCTCAGAATTTGGGATTTCTAGGGTTCCTTCCTATCCATCTATTTTGCTCGTTTAGATTTCTTCTTTGTTTCCCTCTGTTTGAGACGACGAGACGAAGTGGGTTTCTTCTAAAAATACGATATTTTTTGTTAT